GCCACCTATTTTACCAGTTTTTGAGAACTATTCAATGTTGCATCAATTTAATCTAATTAACAATGGTAACATATACTATGGTACTTTTCGATTTATATCCATTGCAGTGAATAATACGTTTAAATAGTAATACTAGTTTCAGACTTTATTCATATATTTGAATTTCAAAATATCGTTGTTAATACAAACCGAAGGATAAAAGTACTGAAATTTTTATTGAGGCATATTCAAACTATATGGTAATCTTTCATTTTTCCATGGCAATAAGTACAAGTGCCTGGTTAGTATTATCTAATGTTCAGTTACATAGTTCTTAGTACTGATCAAATTCGTTTAGAGAGGTTAGATTATAGCTACTAGTCTAACTAACTTGACATCATGATGAACTTTTTTTGCTCTTGAATAGTTTGAATAACTTATTTGAAGCATCATGTTCAGATTGATTTTAAGTTAGCACTCACCGATCAGACATGTTTTTCCACATTGAAGAAACTGATACGGTATCATCTACTAACACATTCATAGGTCTTTGAAATTATTTTACCACAAGAAAATCGGGATAAAAAAAATCTTGTGTTTCTAGATTCATCTGATAGATATGTTTCCAATGTGAACTATTAGTAAATATACTCCTGGATTTCAAAATATTTTATTAGTTTTAACCATTACATACTCAAAAGAACACAAATATACAAACATTCTCAACTTCATAAAAGAATTCTTAATTTGACTCAAGACTTATTTGATAAACACCTAAAAAGTAATCATTCTGAAATCTTTTACATACAATGTATATTACTACTTTATCCTATCAAAATGTGTAGTTTTACATCTTATATTAGATACCGTTAACTAATGTTAATGGATATCTATTTGAATTTTATGATCTCTTCCATTACTAAACATTCTTTGGTTGTTTATTATTAAAGAATTAGTACAATTACATTCAAATGAGTAATTATAAAGAAGTATGGAGCTCAAACTCACTTGATGTTGTTCTACTTGTATCTTCAAATTGTTATTTAGGACTGTAATTGATCAGTCTCATGTTGGCATATATACATTCTGTGCAGATCGACTCGATATTGTTTTAAGTCACAAGCTCTTAAGAGCGAAGATGGATAGTGGAGAATGAGATGGCACTTGAAGCGAACGGCACTGAGTTCGAGCCCCAGAGTGAACATCAAATCTAGGATACAGGTACATCCAGATGACGAGTCTCAAATAGAACGAAACGCTGGTCCTTAATTCCATTGCTAGCCACTATCCATCTTTGCTTAAGTATAGGGCTTGTTTGTTTGATTATTTATGTAGGTAATATTAAACAGTCTGTCGAATAAAATAATACATGAGTAAAAATTATGTCATTCGCAAATGCTATTTTTTATTAGTTTACAAATGTATTCATGTGTTCATCAATATAGTGACCTCGAACTTTATTTGTTTAATATTTTTCTTATATTGTTTCCGTTTTCTCTTTTCACTTTTAAAAAGTTAACAGCAAAATGTCGTTTTTAAACGTAAACAAAATTATCTAAACAATTTTTTTTTTAATATTCAGTTGTTATGACATTCAAAAGAAAGACATCAAGTGATGAACAAATGATAAGGAAATAGGTTTAGATAATAATAATAATAATAATAATGAAACAATTCGATAATTTATATATTACAGATGAATAGTTATTATAACAAACTTCCTTATGTTATAGAATTATATTTACTAAATTGCAACTCATTAATTCATTATTAAATTGTTTATAACAAAAGGCTATAAGTGTTCTAACTTTGTCCTAAATTTGTACAAATAAATGATTTTAAGATTTTAGTCTTTAATTGATTAAATATAAAAAAATATTACTTTATTTTACTTAGTTTATTGTTTCATTCTAAAAGTTAGTAATCAAGTGAACAGTTCATAATTAATATACAATCAGTCAGTCAGTCAGTCAGTTAAAACATAAAAGTAGAATCTGGCACTTATATGTTTTGGTTCAAGTTGGTATATTATTAGGTTTATGATTGTTTGAAAGTAAAAAGTGATCTTCATTGAGTATCCCAAGTGATCAAAATGTTTTATTTGGTTTATGATTTCATTTAAAACAATGTATTTGACTTATGGAAGAGATATTAACATTTGAAGCTTCATCATAATGCATTATTTTGTAATTGATTTTTTTTGTTAATGGTTTTTCTTCTATAAATCCTTGTACTTATTACTAATTTGCTGATTAATAAAATTTGATAGTGTCGAAATAAAATGAAAATTAGACTGGTAAACGATAGTTTTGTTTTCAATTGTTAATAGAATCTTTGTATCCCGGTGATTAATTATGATCACTGATCTGTGTAAATGACAGTGAAAAAAATGTTTACACACCCCAATACTGATAACTAACATGTGCTCACTAGTGACTAGCTTCGTGAGGGAATTCTCGGAGTTCTAGTGAGAAGCCGTGACCAGTGGAGCTAATCCGTAGAGACAGGTATCTTCCTCAGTACAATGGAAGATGGTCGCGCAATTTCGTGGATTGGTTGATGTTAGACACTAACACCATTGGATACCGGCTCAGTGGTCCAGTAGGTTAAGCATTCGCGCGCGAGACTGAAGGCCCTGGGTTCGAATCCCGCGAGCGGGATCGTGGATGCGCACTGCTGAGGAGTCCCATGCTAGGACGAAACGGCCGTCCATTGCTTCTAGGTTTCAAACGGTGGTCTAACCTAAAGTTGTTATTTAAAAATATCTTAAAAACCATTAAGTTCAAATACTTTAATGAAGTTAATATGATTCAGATCAAAATTTTGTATGTAAATCAGTCAGTAAATATTTATACTTCAAGTCAATAAAGTTTTTAAAATCTATCAATAATAAACAGTTTCCTACAGTCATGCAAAAGTGTTCTTTAATGGTAATAAAATATGTTTACTTCTTTCAGCTCAATATAACAGGTTTACTACTTTAAAGCAATTAGTCCCTTTGATAAATTTCGATAATGTAATAAGAAGACAAAGATATTGACTTATTATCCAGAGAGATTAGTTTTTGAATTGTGTTAATACATTTCCATTCTAGCTGACCTTTTTTATATGTATAAAGGTTTTTAACAAGTATATGTGTGATCAGATTGTTCGAAATGTATTGCGCTAATATATCACATAGTTCTGATAATCTTTGTCTTCCCAATACTTTAAATTAAAGCAAACCGTATTTTAATGTTAAATCAAAATAGGAAAAATGCAAACATTTTCTATAATCATTTTTGTCATAGTCCGAACAGATCAAAACATAGAATGTGTGAATAGCTGTCGTAATTCATTTGGAAATGCTTAAGTAAAAATCACATAAGGAATTACACAAAGTATATCTGGAAATACTTAGTCTTTCCGTATACTAAAACAATTAAACCTTTGAATGAAAAACTACTGATCCAAAATTCTCTGTATCAGTCACCATCTAATAAAATCAATGGTTGATTACTTTATTACCTTTATTTTTTGGATCAATTATTGAAGGGTTCTCATTGTGAATCCGAAAGTTCTATCTCAAATCAAGTCACTGATAGTCATTAAACTATTGTTCTGACATATGTTGTGGTTTGACCAATTCAAAGAAACATTTCATCATAAAATAGTATTAAATGGAGAACAGTGAAAAAGAAGAACCATTAGATATCTGATCCAACCAAGCTTGGATTTCGATCTCAGCAACCACCTCGCTATAATAACTCAATTTTTATTTCATACAATACTCAAAATAACATAACTTTATTATTTACATCGATACTTTATTATCATTCATAAGTACAATGCTGTCATGTTTTAATATTTAAATTATTACTGGATTTGTTTGATTAACATATGTATTGGAGAAAATACAAAAACTAAGATTTTCATTTAAATATTGAATCAAGTGACCCAAAATGTTAGTAATAAAAGAGATAAGATAATATGGAACAAATGAGAGGCTATTACATTATCTCTAGCATTAAAAATGGATTAAAAATGAATAGGTCATGTTCAAAGTGAATATTATATGACACAAAAAAGAGGTTTAAACTTTTTAATTGCTAGAATTGACATGGTCAGAAAAATGTGATCCTGAAAGTTTTTATATCAGGAATCTTAACCCTTTTGGAATTACTAATAGTTTCATCTGGCCATAGAGAAGTATGATTAGTGGAAACGTTTGTTAAGAGAAAATTTGAGCCTCTTGTTTGTATACCTAAAACCTATTCATCTTCACTATATATATTATGTAAACTGAATATTCTCCAAATTTCTTTGCCGTTGTTTTATAGTTTAAAAATGGTTTTTTCAAAGTGTATGCTTTTTTAACTGTAAATAATTTCATTAACGGAAAATAATCAAGAAAAATATTTATAAAAAATTGTTGAGTATATATTGAATTATCTTTATGAAAAGCTGCAAACCTTGCCCGTTACCAAGGTGATAGAAAATCAATAAATACATTTCTTAAATCAAACAATACTCTTTATCTGTTAGCCTTATAAGTACCGGTTAGGTGATATATATACATATATATATATATGAAAAGTATAAAATCAACAATATTATACATTATTTAAAATGAAATTCACATAAGCATATTTGCCTAGAAATTTATGAATAACATTATACTTGTTTTTGATTGGTTAGTTTTTAAAAGGGAAAAAAGTTGAAAATAGCTGTTCATTACCATTACCAATTATATCTATTTAAATATAATTATTAACTAATGCTGATTGAAGCTGAGAGTTGATTGGCCCACTTTTTTCTAAAAAATTTTTTGTTTTGAATACAAAACATGTTGACTAATTACTTAAAGTAATTATGTATTTAATGATTAAATAAAATAAACAATTTTATTGACCATATTTAAAATTCTTTACAGTATGAATAATGGGAATTTTGATAAATAACATCGTACTCATTTAGTTTGTAATATTGTAAGAAAATAAAGACGTTTACATAGTAACGATTGTCATTTTATTTTGATAAACATGAAATATAAAACCATGTTGATTACTTTAATGATTGTATTATGGTCTCATTTGGTTACTATTATATATTGTTTTCAACGTAAACATGATAAACATACAGTTGCAAGTATACCAGGTGATATAATGCTTGGTGGATTATTTCCTGTACATACATCTGGTGTAACTACTTGTGAATCAATCAATCCTGAAAGAGGAATTCAACGAGTTGAAGCAATGTTATTTACACTAGATGAAATTAATAATAATACAAAATTATTACCAGGTTTAACTTTGGGCACTACAATACGTGATACATGTTCAGATACAAATCATGCACTTGAACAAGCATTGAAATTTGTACAAGCAAGTACTGGAAGTAGTAGTCAATTGAATAAAATGAATGAACAATCAGAAAATTTAAATACACGTGGAGTTGTTGGTAGTTCATATAGTTCAGTAACAATACTTGTAGCAAATTTATTTCGTCTGTTCTCTTTACCACAAATATCTTATGCATCAACAACTGCTATATTAAGCGATAAACGTGCATTTCCATTATTTGCACGAACTGTACCTTCGGATGTTGTGCAAGCTCAGGCAATGGCTACATTAGTCTCGGCTCATAACTGGACTTATGTTTCTACAGTACGTAGTGCAGGAGATTATGGTGATTCCGGTATGGATGCATTTTGGAAAGAAGCTGACAAACTTGGTGTATGCATAGCAGCCAGAGAAGTGATTAGAGGAAATACGGGTCCTGAAGATTTAGATAATATAGTTAATGTGCTTAGCAAAGATTTCGCAAAAGCTAGAGTCGTTGTTTTATTCACCGGTATGGATCACACAAAGCTATTATTAGATGCAGTTAGGAGAGCTGGTCTAGTTAACCATTTCGTTTGGATAGCTAGTGACGGATGGGGTAGAGAAAATGTACCCGTATCAAATAACTCAAGAGAAGCAAATGGTGCGTTAACTATAGAAATTCAAGCCGAACCGATTAAAGCATTCACAGATTATTACCTTTCTTTAGGTAGAGAAAATCATAGGAATCCTTGGTTCAGAGAATATTGGCAAGACTTAATACAATGCAGAGAAAGTTCATCTAAGAGGCGAGAAAGAAAATCAACTAATTCCAAGCGTTATTTCATGAGTAAATTATCAAAAAATGAAACAAATTTAGAAAATTCTCATGAAATGTCAACTGAAACTTCATCATTACTGTCATCATGTAGTGACAGTCCAGATTTAAGATTACGTGACATTCTTGGACCGGATTTCAAACAAGAAGCGAAAATACAATTTGTCTACGACGCAGTTTATGCATTTGCTTCTGGGTTACATATACTTCAGAAAAAACTATGTCCTGGTAACCCTCTTCATCCAAAATGGAATAAAAGAGATTGTCTAGAGAAAATGCTCAGCTATCCTGGAACTGCTTTCTACCAACTAATAATCAATACATCATTTACTGGTGAGTTTAAACGTCAGTTATATGTTTCATTCATTAAAATCATTTTTGGTCAGTGCCCAAGAGCTTAGACTACGTATATGTCGTCAGTGAGGTTTGTACATATTTAGCAAGTATTGACTGTATCAATGAAAAAGAATTTACTTACAGACACTCCACCTGTAATTATTATGTGAACTGTCGGTAGACAGCAAGTAAACGATACTGCTGAAATATTGCTAAAAGTTTGTTCATAATAATAAATAACAATAAATGTGTTGAAATTATGTGTATAACTAATAACGTACTTATATATGTATGGTATGACTCTAATTAGTCTCTTCTTTCGAGGTTCTTTATTAAAAATCCGATTTTCGTTGGATACTCAAAAACTTCCAAAACGCTTTTGAAAAATAAGTGAAGAAAAACTAAAGTCATTTAACCTTAAGTTGAAATCAATAGTGTTGAGACATTACATTTTTTATATTATCCCAACACAACTGGATATGTTTTGACAACAAACAGCTTTGTTTCTTTATTTTTTATTTTGTTTATTTATATGACTTTAAACAGATCAGGTATAACAAGGTTCGAGTAGCGAGATGAATTTTTTCTATTTCACGGTTTCTCATTAGATTCATATAGCCTGAAGTTACAATTATTAATATAAATATAAACAAATGTTTAACACTCTCGGTTTATGAAGTATGAATGACTGTTCTAAACGGAACCAAAAATATATTATAATAATGAAAACAGGGCACAAAGTGTATAAATAAACCTAGCTAAGATCGATATGTATTTACGTTGGAAATAAGTAATGCAGAGTAGTATATATGTTATAGTTACTAATCATAATCAAGATAAAAAAAGGTTATGCATGGATAATGAAATAAATGAATAATTGTAGAATCATTAAACATATTAAGAAATAAAAGTTTAATATTAGAAGGCAAATATGCTGGATGACTGAAAAATGTTGATAAAGCTTGTTTGATGAAACACTCAATCACCGTAGGAGAGAAAGGTCAATCACACTTTCCTTTTGCCTATATAGGTCAGGCTGGAAACGTTTGATATCGATTGCCTCTACAAAACGGTCTGCATGTGAAAACACTTTAAATGGGTTATAGATTTATGATTAAACCCTTTTTCATATAAGGTCTTAAAATATACAATATACACGATTATCAACTGAATGCACTACGTTTCAGATAAACTAGTTAATTCAAAAATTTTATTAGCCTAATTATCTGTGTTTTCGATAAATTTTACAGCATTTCCGTTAAACATCACAAAATTTCTTATTGAATAATCTATCCAATAAACTCCTTACAACCAGTATTCGGGATTTGTGAAAACTGTAAAACTTTCATAGATTAAGTCCCAAACATTTTAGGTTCCATTGCTTTGTACAAGGTTGTAAATGCTCACTGTTAACGAGTGCAAAACTAAGAGCAAACAGATGCTCAATGCTTCGTGGTTTCCAATGATGGTCTAGCTAGGATCCGTTCGCGACCTACACTATTGAAAACGTATAATCGTTTCACTCTGAAAGAAAATGTCAGTTCGAGAGAACAATACTAATTAGTTAATAATTTTCGTAAAATATTCTAAAATCTGCAAATGATAACTGGTGAGTAACAACTAAAAGTTGCAAACATATAAAGAATAATTTGTGATCACTGATGATGAAAACATTACATTTCAACTGAACTTGATCTGAATTTTTGATTGAGATCGTGGACCAATCACTGTTAAGCCACCATTGAAAACCTAGAAGCACTGAACGGCCGTCTCACCCTAGTATGAGATTCCTCAGTATCGCACATCCACGATTCCACTCGCGGTATTCAAACCCAGAACATTTGGTCTCGCACGCGAACGCTTAACCTCTATACCACTGATCTGAGATCAAATGGTGTTAACGCCTAACATCAACCAATCCACAAATTCGCGCGACTAACTTCCAATGTCTTCGGTGGGTAACTGCCCCACACTTGACACAGATTAGCTCCACCGGTCATGGCTCTTAAACAGAACTTTAAGAATTACCTATTCAATTGATGATTATTTTATTTTTTTGAATTATTTACTTAGATTCATTTTTTTACATATACATATCTATTTTTATATAGTAGAAACTTTATTTTGATCCAGTCATACTAAATAATCAAAGGTATCCTTTCCCAGAAAGTTATATATAATTAGTAGCATGTGATAAAATGTACACTAAATATGTACACAATGAATAAAAAGATGACAACAAAATTTGATTAAAAATTTTTTAAAAAAAAAATAAAAAAATATAATTAATTGAAAATGATTTGTTTAAGTAGAAATTAATTCTATTGTCAGATTCAATTTTCAATTTAAAATTTTGTTTCTTCTCTTTTTTGCTTTTCTTGAAATTTTAACAAACTACATGCCAAAATTTATTTAAAAGAAAATTTTTTTTCGCTATAATTCAATATTAAAATATAAATAAATAAAATACCGACAAGATAAGTCAATAAACTGATAGCTTCAAAGAAATGGGTTGTTTTTTTAAAAAATTGTTTTACATTGATTAGTGAAGCTATAAAGATTTTTTGTTTTTTTTAGTAAAAACACAGTAATTACAAATAAATCACTTTTTATCATTTATGTAAAATGATTTTATTTTTAATAAATAAGATAGAAATAAGATTTGTATTGTAGTTTTCCTTTTTAAATAATTGACTGATAAATAGTAATATTATTCAATTGATATCATCAGGGTGAGAGAAGATCAATAACAGAATCATTTTAAAGTAGATATCTCCATCAATACTCATTAAGTTTAAAAATGTTTGCTCAAAAACCGTCTGGAATTGGTAATACAGTATTTACACAACTGGAAACATGTTTTTTCTTATCATTTTAATTTATGTAAGATACAATTGAATCTATAAAACAAAAATCAACCATTCATGTTCTTAACGCTTGAATTCTAATGAACTATCACCTGATATTAATTCTTCCCGAAAAATTCCTTTTTAAATAAATATTTCATGTTAAAATTATCCTTGACATTATAGTTAAACAAGCAATTTGGTTATGTGATAGTGTCTTAAGCTTGGAAATGATACATTTCAAAATGGGAATTTTGTTAAAACGTTTGTTTGAATTATTATTTTTAAAAAAAATTTATTTATTGATCATATTTTCTCGTTTTAATTATTTTCTGAATGTAACTTTGGTTAATAAAATTTTCAATTTTTATCCAATATATAGCCTAAACAAGTCAAAATGAATCAACCTGATAATATATTGAAAATTCCCATTTTGACATTTGGTAAATAAAGAAGGAACGAATCGAGCGAAGAAATTTCTTTTCAATTAGTTTTTCATCATGGCTGTACACTAATATATATAGATATGATTTACAATAATGAAATAATACTCATCCAGTGGATACGTTTACGTAATAGTTACATAATAACATATCGATCATAAATTAACATTAAGTAATTGGAAGAAAGAGGATTAATAATAATCAAAGTTGAATAATTTTTTCTGGTTAGCGTTTTTTTAGCGAGTTAGTTTTCTACGGGATGGGGTCGCTAACCCCATGCCCAACCCTCCTCCTTTATCCGGGCTTGGGACCGGCAGTAGCCCTCGGAAAGGGACTCCAGGCGCCTAAATAATCAAAGTAATTATTCGAAAATCAAGAAATTGCTACGTTACATAATATATGAAAAAGTGAAGGAACAGAATATTTTAATGAATAGTCAGTAGAATAGTTGTTATGTGAGAATTAAGAGATGAATGATGCGAAAAAAATACAAAAATATAAAGTTCAAGAAACGAAAACAAAATCGAAGAAGTACGACAATAGTTCTACTACAAGCGTTCCTATACCGATGGTCAAGGTAGCGAAAGTGGTTGCAAAAATTTCCTTTGAACGCAAAAGTTAGGTTTGTGAACATGGATTGCGATGACTTCAGCAATGTACAAAAGATGCACTTGTAAACCATGTGGCAAATTTGATAGAATATGGCTGGTGAAAAACTAATTGAAAAGAAATTTCTCCGTTTGATTCGTTCCTTTTTTATTTATCGAATGTCGAAATCGAAATTTTCATGATAAATAATAATATTCAAGTGATATCAAACAGGTGTAATTGTTATCCTTTAATGTAAATAAACATTGAGTTTTATTGAAAAGAATTTTTGTTTTCATTGAAAATGAAAGTAAAACTGAATTGAAAAATATGATGTAAAATTTTGATTATTTGAGTCCGGAGATAAACTCTTGTTTTAAAATTATTGAATCATATTGAATATCATTATGTAGGTATGATTACCAAGATTTGATTTGATAATTTCTAATAAATTGCGTATTGAGTAGATTATTATAAATAAAAATAATATATTCGTAATATCTCAAATGAGTAGAAAAATTAAACTTTCTGATGTTTTGTGACTCAATGTAAGCGACTTCATCAGAGAATGAATAACCAAATCAAAATTAATTCAAGTTTAAATAGTACAAAAGAACAGCACAAAAAGTGGCTTACATTAAGTCATGAAACATCAGAAAATTTGAGGTTTTACTCAATTAGGATATCCCGAATATGTTAATTTATTTATATCATAATGTAATTGTGTATTTTCAGTCAAACAATAAATGTACTCATATAGTATCATTCAATTTATTGACATAATTAAGTTTGAAAGTAATGTATAACTGGAATATTTCACTATGTTCATCTTTATTACCTATTAATGATCATCTTACACCTAAACTTTTCGAGCATATGATTATATAAGAGCTAGTTTATCAGCCATGAAAATAAAGTACACTTAATTTCTGTCATATATATATATATATATATATATGATTTGAAAAGAACTTTCCGCTTCAATGCAAAAATTAATTACTGAAGAGTGAAGTGTTTTTGTTCAGCTAAATAATAAAAAAACTAACATAAGAGTAAACAAAATATAATGAAATATGTATTTGATTAAATCTTAAATATTGTTAAGTATTATATTAAAAAA